AGCATTTTAGGTCCTAAAGGTGTCTGCTAAGTTCTATGGAAATCAGAGAGGAGGACTATTGACAAAAATTCTGTAACTTAAGCAGTAGAGAACCCAGAGAGGAGTGCCACCCCTCAGAAACTAGCCATCTCTGCTTCTGCTCTTTTCCATGTTACTTGATATTAGTGTCATCAGAAATGCTTCAGTGGTGGAAATCAGGGCGTTTTTCTGCCTTACCAACAGGGACAGTCAGTTGTTCAGGAGCATATATCTTCTGGATGTGCTGAGAGGACACTGGAGCTCCTGCTCCCAGGGTCCTGTTTGCACGAATTGCCCCCATGCGTGGTGAGGGGTAGGTGTGTGCTTGGTGCAGGGTTCCTGTCAGGGACAAGTGGATAATTCCCAAAGGAGGGGAGAGATGCTGAGGAAGATACTGCCCTGTCCCCAGCTGCTGAGTCTCTGTTTCCCTCTGCCTCCTTCGCCCTCTTCCCTTGAAATTATAACTCCAAATGGCTCAGGCATGGGCCATTTACTGTGATTATTTCCCCTTTTTCACTCTTCCTCAATTTACTCTCCCTGTCTCTGTAAGAAGGAAAGAAGATGTGGTTTCTGTGTAGAAGGCGGCTGGAGAGGTGGTAGCATTTGCTCTCTGAGTGGAAAGGTATTATCTGGCAACACTGCACGTTGAGGAGATAAAGGAGCAGAGGGTTGTAAAGTGTGTGTGTTTAGCATATGGATTCAACCTGTCTCTGCCAGCATCTATTGCCCTGACCTAAACAATATGAGGCTTTTGCATTTTAATCCGGTTGGCTGCTGGTTCTGTCCCAGTTAGAGTGAGAGTCAGTGGAGTCGATTCATGGGAGCTCGAAGGGAAGGAGCGGGGTGAACGAGGGAGAGGGGGGTGCCTCTATGAAAGGCAGGGAGAGATAGCCTTTCTCTAACTCAACAAAAGACAAGCAAACCTGTGTGCAGATGAAGGGGGGGGTGGCTGGGGGAAGGTTACGAGTTGTCTTATTATGGAGAAGCTTGAACTGTCATCTGTACTTGATGGAAGCGAGAGAGATTGCAGTTGGAGCTGCAGAAGCGCTGCCTCCCTGATTGGATTAATAGAAAGGAAAGATGACTCTAGAATGGCTGCCCATTATCTGCACTACAAAGGGATTAGTGTGGGTTTCAGAGAAATTAATGGCTTTTGAGTTAGTGCAGAAATACTAATGAATGTCAGGGCCAGAGATGTACGGTGAGCAAAATTGGTTCTCTTTTAGTGTGTATGTGTGCGTGCATGTATCTGTCCATTTGGGATATGAAAATGTGCCTTTTCTCTACCATTTTGAGTGTTAGATTAGGCTTTCAGTTTTCATATTTAGCTGAACTACTCTCGAATAGCTTATTTGTTGGCAACATATAGTTATATTGATTTCTTTTCCACCTTTTAAGACCTAGTGCCAAAGTAGCAATTTTTTAATTGTTGTTTTGATTTTAGACATATATGCAGGAAATCTTTGTAGGTAGAGCGTAGAGCACTTTGAACATGGTATTGAATGCAAGCTCCGTTCTGAGTAAGTGGGTGATGTGGGGAGGCTGAGGCTGAGCTGGCAAGGCATAACTGAAACACATCCTTTTTTGTTAGTGTAGATAAGACGTAGAATCCTTTCCCCATTTTTTTAACCCCCATGAGGTTTGCATACTCACATTAAGTATACCAAGCAATTAATTCTCATGTATGTTTAACGTGAAAGTTTAACTGAAACTTTTCTACTGAATCCTTATAAATCCTTAAAGTTGGTCTTCGCTGAAGAGCTAGCCAAAGCTGTTACACTTCTGTCCTGAATTCTTCGCCTGCCCACATGTGTAACTCTCACAACCAACTACAGCAGTGCTTTCAGCCGAGGACAGGAACATTTCCTTAGACTGTAGGTTACAGTCCAAGTTCTGCTGTCTCACCAGTGGGTGTCAGAAGTCTCTTGGACTGTAACGAGGTCCAAGTACTCATAGTCACGAGCTTCCTTGTGCCCCTGGGAGGACAGACAGACTCACCCATTAGCCAGCGGTGGTGAGAACAGCTTGCCCAGCAGTCCTGGCCATATTAGCTGGGAAGCGCAGTGCAGATGGAGATGTGGCAAATTCTGTACAGGCTCATCTTTGGCTTTTTGTTTCCAAGCTTCATCAAGCCCAGATGCTTCTGTCTCTTAGCTCTGTGTATGTATACTTGGAGGTGATCATGTCTAAAACTTGTTAGAGCGTGGCCTGTTAATGTGAGTGGTAACTGGTTGAGCTGAGACGGTGAAAATATTTCACACCTTCATCTGTCTACCCTATCCTTCTTTCAAAGGCTGTCAGCCTGAGGGCAGAAATCACAGCTTCTGTATTGCTGCAGTTTGTAACACTGTGTGTTAAAGGTCAATAGATGCTGATTTCATTTTGACCTAATTGCGCTGGGCAGTGGATGAGGAGCTGTTCCCAGGTGGCTGCCTTGTTCCTGCATCGGGAGCAGCAGTCCCCAAGGGAGATGGACAGCCACAGGCAGAAACCTCTTCACTTATGTCTGTTAATTCTGCCACTGTTTGCAAGTCAAGACCCATCACAGGTACCCTTCTATTATGTGACAGGGATGAAGAAAATTTCCCTCAACTTCATGTTGGGCCAAGGTTTATGAAGGGTTCTGCTCCGAAGCACCTGAAGTGCTAAGGCACTTAGATATATGTGTTCAAGTCTGGGCAGCCTCTTACTTTTTGGTTTTGGTTGTGTCTGCTGGTCCTGAGCCTGATTCTCATAAACCAGCAAAGCTCTTCTCTGGTAAATGAAGCTGTGCAAAATGTTCTGGTCCTGGGTTGTGCTGCAATGTGGTAAGAAACTGCTGTTGCTGGGCACAGTTCTCTGTTCCCTGTGTCCTGGGTAAGTCTGGGTGTCAGGTGCAGTGCCCGGCTGCTGGCAGTGGGGCTGTTCTGGCCTGTTCCAGCTCTGTGCCCCTCAGCCAGAGGTGAGACCTCTCCATCAGAGCGTGTTTCAGAAGGGATAAAGCACTGCACAACAGTTTCAGGAGTGAGGAGCAGCCCAGGGCCAGAGGAGGAGAAGGTGCTGCAGGCACCGGGGCATGGATTCACCTGCAGACCCTGGAGAAGACCAAGTATCTCCCTGCAGCCCCATGCAGAACCTCATGCTGGAGAAGCTGGAGGTTTCCTGAAGGAACTGTGGCCATGGAGATCTCACACAGAAGCAGGTTCATCTTGAATGACTACAGCCCCTGGAGAGGACCCACACTGGAGCAGGTGCAGATGGAGATGTGGCAAATTCTGTACAGGCTCATCTTTGGCTTTTTGTTTCCAAGCTTCATCAAGCCCAGATGCTTCTGTCTCTTAGCTCTGTGTATGTATACTTGGAGGTGATCATGTCTAAAACTTGTTAGAGCGTGGCCTGTTAATGTGAGTGGTAACTGGTTGAGCTGAGACGGTGAAAATATTTCACACCTTCATCTGTCTACCCTATCCTTCTTTCAAAGGCTGTCAGCCTGAGGGCAGAAATCACAGCTTCTGTATTGCTGCAGTTTGTAACACTGTGTGTTAAAGGTCAATAGATGCTGATTTCATTTTGACCTAATTGCGCTGGGCAGTGGATGAGGAGCTGTTCCCAGGTGGCTGCCTTGTTCCTGCATCGGGAGCAGCAGTCCCCAAGGGAGATGGACAGCCACAGGCAGAAACCTCTTCACTTATGTCTGTTAATTCTGCCACTGTTTGCAAGTCAAGACCCATCACAGGTACCCTTCTATTATGTGACAGGGATGAAGAAAATTTCCCTCAACTTCATGTTGGGCCAAGGTTTATGAAGGGTTCTGCTCCGAAGCACCTGAAGTGCTAAGGCACTTAGATATATGTGTTCAAGTCTGGGCAGCCTCTTACTTTTTGGTTTTGGTTGTGTCTGCTGGTCCTGAGCCTGATTCTCATAAACCAGCAAAGCTCTTCTCTGGTAAATGAAGCTGTGCAAAATGTTCTGGTCCTGGGTTGTGCTGCAATGTGGTAAGAAACTGCTGTTGCTGGGCACAGTTCTCTGTTCCCTGTGTCCTGGGTAAGTCTGGGTGTCAGGTGCAGTGCCCGGCTGCTGGCAGTGGGGCTGTTCTGGCCTGTTCCAGCTCTGTGCCCCTCAGCCAGAGGTGAGACCTCTCCATCAGAGCGTGTTTCAGAAGGGATAAAGCACTGCACAACAGTTTCAGGAGTGAGGAGCAGCCCAGGGCCAGAGGAGGAGAAGGTGCTGCAGGCACCGGGGCATGGATTCACCTGCAGACCCTGGAGAAGACCAAGTATCTCCCTGCAGCCCCATGCAGAACCTCATGCTGGAGAAGCTGGAGGTTTCCTGAAGGAACTGTGGCCATGGAGATCTCACACAGAAGCAGGTTCATCTTGAATGACTACAGCCCCTGGAGAGGACCCACACTGGAGCAGGAGAAAAGTGTGAGGAGGAAGGAGCAGCAGAGAGAAACAGATCATGACCCCCTGTTCCTCATCCCCATATGCTACTCAGGACAGGGGGGAGGTAGAGGGGTTGTCTGTGAAAGCATGAAGTTAAGCCTGGAAAAGAGCGGGGCAGGAGAGGAAGATGGTGTTTAAATTTCTATTTGTATATCTCTGTCAAAATCTATTTTAATTGGCAGTAGGCTACTTGATACTATTGTACTCTTCTAGACTATGTTCTGGGAGATCTGCAGTGTTCTGTTGCTCTGTTGCTATTCTCCTGGATAATGTCAGGAAAATTGCTTTGTTTATTTGTCCCTCTATTTCCCTGTGCCCTTTTTGTAAAGTATTTTGGTACCTCTTGGTGAAGTAGTGCCGTATTCTCCTTGGCTCAGATGTAGGGTCAGTGCTTGTGTTTGATCATTGTTCGCTTTGGGGCGAAGGCTATTTCTGTAACCCTGTCCTCCAGATACATCATGTGTGGGTGGGAGAGATATATAAGGCAGAATGATGTAGCAATACGAGACGACAATTTAAAAATAATTAATGGTAACATTCTCATTTTGTTTCCTCCAGAACACAAGCCAATGTTCCCAAATATTCTGAAGAAGGGATACTTAGAAATTAGAAGAGACAATGACAGCTACTGGCAAACCTGTTACGCTGAGCTCTCCCCATACAAACTCTACCTGTATTGCTTGGACAGCAGTGGCAACCAGACTCTTCCCACCGTGTATCCCCTCATGCATTTTCAAAGGGTCACTGTTACAGGTTGCATTGAAACCAAGGTGGTGGACACTGTCCTGTCAGACAACTCACAGCTACAGCTGAAGGCGGAGTCCTCATGGGAGGCTTTGGACTGGGGACAGAAACTCTGGGAGGCGGTGCGTGCTTCTGTGCCTGCTTTCACAAGACAGCAGGAGAAACTGGAGAATGTGCCAAAGCCTGAAAATAACAGTGACCTTTCTCAAACAAATGGATTGTTAGAGAAGCCCGTGGAGCTCTTGCTGTCCATGAATTTGACTGGAAACAATAAAGAGTACCAAAATATTATCAAATCAGGGACTCTTTATAGGTTAACTGTCCAGAATAACTGGAAGGCATTTACTTTTGTCTTGAACAGGTCTTATCTCATGGCATTCCAACCGGGTAGGCTTGATGAAGATCCTCTACTGAGCTACAATGTCGATGTGTGCTTGTCGGTCCAAACAGATACTCAGGATGGCTGTGACTCTTGCTTTCAGGTCATTTTTCCTCAAGATGTCCTCCGCTTGCGTGCAGAGACCCGTCAGAGGGCCCAAGAGTGGATGGAGGCGCTGAGAGCAGCAGCCAATGCTACTAGAAGTTTAACTCAGAACCCACAGGTCACACTAAGGAACAAACCTGGAGATCGGCCCTTTGGAAATGATCTTAGAAAGAGCAAGCGCCAGTCTGTGACCACCAGCTTCCTGAGCATCCTGACCACGCTGTCGCTAGAGAGAGGGCTCACAGTTCAGAGTTTCAAGTGTGCAGGTAAGCAACCAGTCTGTGGCATCTGCACCCACTCCTCTTCTGCAGGAAAAAAAATATCACATGGAAGAGCATGTTATGTGTTTTAGCAGCACACAGCTGTTCCCTGCCTCCCACTGTGGCCATAGACACTTTGGTGTGTTAGCCTTTCTTTGCTCTCTGTAAAATGTGGGGAAAAGCCTATGGGATATTTAGGGATTCACCTGCATTTCATAAGCAATGCTGAAACATGAGATCCTGCACGTGTAACATACAGCATGTGTAACATACAGCACTACATGGGCTAGGGCTGCCTTAACAAGGTGGCTGAGCTATTTTCTTGCTTCAGGACAGTGGAAAAAGGTGGTCCGGGATCAAAGGGATTTGAATTCTGGATACATGCAGCTTTCCAACTTCTAGCAATTTTGTTTCCTTTTATTACTATGTCTCAGTTTTGGAGCTCAGTTTTAGCTCTGTGTCTTCTAGGGAGACTCCTCAAAGCACATACGCTTCCCTGAAACACCATTGTTCAGTGATGTGTGTTCTAGTACTGAAGTTCAGGCATGAGCTTATTTGTTCGGTTCTTAAGGTGGGGGTGAAAACATGACCTTAAGTCTCTGCAACTAATTGTAAATCTCAGCTCATTTGACTGCTGACTCTACTCTGAGGCAAGAGCAAAATTTTATCTGTTTTGGGAATGAAGTGGAAACAGAACCCCTGTGAATGCAGTTCTTTGTCCTTTTACTTCAGCAGGGGCACCTTGCTGGAGCAGATTTGGAAACTTTGTGCTTAAATTGCATTCTGTGGCTGGCTTTAGTTATGTTCACTTAGAATTTGTCAGCTGTATCAGAAACAGCTTTTCTGGAGAGTTTTCCTCTTTCATTATGGGAGCTATGAGGGTCCTGCCTCCTCCCCACTCTGCTCTGGGACAGAGGAGCTGTCTGATGTGGGCGTCTCCTATTGCTCTGGGGTGCTCTGTGCGGGCCCAGGACCTGCTGGCTAGCCTGAATCCCTTCCAGGGAAGGGGTTCTGAGACTTCTGAGACCAAGAAGTACTGAATTGCCCTCAGAACTGGCTGTGGGTGCAGCTGGGTTTGTCCCGTTCTGTAGTCACCCACAGGTGGTGTTCCTGCTCACCTCTCCACAGAACATTGCACCCACCTTGTAGCTGGAGCATCAAAGGTTGGCCTCACTGCAGTTAGTGATTGGGTCACAGTATGGGGGCTTCAGTTCTGTTCTTGGACACAAACTCTGTGTGACAACATATCCATTTTTCCTGGGAGTAGTTATGTGCCAAACTACTGCTAAACTGAAGGTGCTTGGGTCTGTGGTAACTCTGATTACCAGAAGACTGTTGGGCAATGGTTATGTCTTACCTTTAAGGGTAGTTGTGAGAGTGAAAGCTGCTGGGAGACTCTGGGAATGGGTCAAATAAGTATCTCCAAGATGGATCCATCCCATTGTGTTACCCAGCAGACAGCCTTGTGGAACTTAAGACAGCAGAGTTGACAGTCTCATTTTAAGATAATGTCCCAGATGACATTAAAACTTTATTCCTTTCTCCTCATTTCTTTTAATTCAAAGGTCAGTAGAGGAAAATTTTGTAATCTTGCTTCATCCTCTGACTGAAGTCCAGGAGAGTTTCAAGTGAGCATTTTGAGTGACCTCATCAAAAATAGGATCAGGCCCTTGGATGGCAACAAAAAGCATGTCTCCAATGTGAAATAGATTTTAGTCTTGAATTATATAGTATGGGAGCAGATTTTTCTGTGGGAAAGGATGGATTCCCTCTCCCAAACATGGGGCAGTTCATCTGCACTCACTCGCATGTTCCCACTAGAAATAAGGTGCTCTGACCATGTCAGGGTTGCATGGGGTCTTTTCCTAATATACAAACGTTCTTAGTGCTCTTGTGACCTCCTTTTAGTCTGCAAAACTGAAATCACACTCTTGTGCAGAGAAATGTGGGTTGTGAAGAGTCTGTGAGAAGCCAGCCACTGGGATTCCCTGTCCCTGAGGATGGGGATACACCGCACTTACGGCAGGAGTGGACCTTTTGTCTTCTGCCTGAGACTCTTAGAGTTGGTCTTTGAGAGTCGGCTGGAACTTCTAGCTGTTACTGTGGTGCAAAGAAGTGTATAATGGTAATTATAACTGGGAGAAACTGGGGAAACTTGTCTGGCTCGGAAAAGTCTGTGCTGAGGAGGCTTTGGAGGCACACCAGCAAGCTGAGACTCACTCCTTGTACCTTGCTCCCTGCAGGCAGTTTGTGCCGTTCCCTGGCATGGGCTGCTGTTTAACCTAAGGGGCCTGCTGTTGGTAATTACAACTTGCAGGCATTGAGAGCGGTTTTCCCCAGGGCTGCTGGGAGGGGTAAGCTTGGAAAAGGGTGAGGAGGGGGGAGGAAGAAAAGTTTTGCTGTGAATTCTTCAGCCATTTAGTGCAAATTCCTGTAATTACCGTCTTTGTGTCCTGTCCCAATGGCACATAATACAGCAGAAGCCTTTCCTAATTGAGACCTTACAGGAGGTACAAATCCCTCCTTTGTTCGGCCTGACAAATTAGTGCCAGAAAGTGGCAAGGTCCGAGTGGGAATCAAAGGCAAGCAACACAAAGATGGAACTTAAGGCTACAGTAATAACCCTCTCTAGTCCTGCAGGGGTGGGAGGGAAGGAAAAGTAATGACCAATGAAAAATGAAGGGTTTTTTTGTTATAAATTCCCTTGACATGACAGCACCTCAGGGCTGCTTTATTTATTTAGGAAAAGTGATTAAATAGTAATACAACAGGACAGACCATTGTCTCTCAAGCTACCCCCCTTCCTACAGACCCCTGCTGTCTTGGCTAATTGATTGACAATGAACCTCTGATAAAGAAGGTTGTTGGGAGGACCTGATGGGGACAGGGTTTTGGGTTGGTTTTTTTTCATTTTCTCTTTGCAGTCTTTGTGGGGTTCCCCTCCCCAATTTTTTTTTCTGTTTGAAATGCCCTCTGCATTCCCCTTTCCTTTTCTCCCTTAGTAAAAGCTTTTCAAGGGACTGCTCCCAGACAAACAGCTGACACAAACAGGTAGGGAAGAATACGAATGTCTGTGCCTTGCTATTGACAAGTTTATCTTGGAGTCTGACTAGCACTTTTCAACGCCTGATATAAGCCAGGGCCGTGGTGTCAGATGTAGTCATGGGGCAGGGGGGACAAACTGTTGATACACTAGAGTCAGAAGGGCAACTTGAAAAAAGTTTTCTTTTGCTTGATGAGCAGATATAAAAGCTTTTCCCCACATGTCGAACTCTTTGTCTTACTGCAGAGGACAGGGCATTATTTCTCATAATTTCAAAAAATGAATGAATAGGCCACTGATTAACACTTGGAGAGGCATGTTTTTTATAAACACTTTTACTTTTGCTGCCATTATTTATATTTTTGGCTTGGAACTGCAATACATTTTGGAACATGGGGTTAACTAGAAACTGCTGGCACTGGAATGGCAGCTTCCTCTGTCCTTTGCATGTTCATATAACTGCAGGCTTGATCTTGCCCTCTTGCTGGGGTACAGCAATGTTCCCGTGGGAAGTGTTTGAGCATTGATCTGCTCAAGTGAGACTTTGGAGGGACCTACCCCTTGTCTTTAAACAGGTATGAAGTGAAAGTTGGTTTTAAGTCCAAGCTGGTGAATATCAGGGTTATGATTTGTTCTTTAATATGTAGGAAATGAGAGATATGCATCATGTTAGGATGATCTCTTGGCGGGGGATATGTTGTTATTTTTTATGTCTTTATTTCACCTAGATTCAAGAGAAATCTCCAAACTGTTCATGTTACAAAACTGGTATGAGGTGGCTTCCATCAAAACATGCTTGCCAAGTGCAGTATCTTGCAGACATGGTAGCTGGATGTGAATACTCCAGTGGCTGTCCTGTCTCCCTGTTGGGCCGTCTATGGGCTCCTGGGGAAAGGCAGGCGTTTCTCCTGGAGCAACTCCCCTGGAGGTCTGTAAGGAGCAAATATCCTTAGATGCCCTTCGCTATTGCTAGTCCCCTTGGCATGTGCCTTCACGTTTCCATAGATGGGGAAGACAAACAGCTTCTGCCCTTGCCTCCTGTTTTTGTGTTGCTCCTGTTCTTTTGATGTCTCTCTTCCTTTTCACCTTTTCTTTTTTCTCTCCCTGTCCTCTGTTAAATCAAGCATTTTTCCAGAGAAGCCAGTTGTGTCTGCCAGGAACTCTTGTTGCTTAGACAGCAAGTCCTAATGGATGTGGGAGTTTCTGCTTTCTGCAAAATGTGCTCTACACCCTTTTATTTGTCTGCGTGGCTTTCCTTGCTCCTCTTCTGGGGTGCCTTCTGTCTTCTCCTCCCCGCTTTCTCCATGTCTTGCCAAAAGGATAAACACTGCTATTAGGGCTCCACTGACTTGGCTGGCTGAGCTGAACACTAGGTGCAGAGAAGCCAAGGTTAGTAAATGGTCTATTTCCTGAGCTTGCAGCCCTGTCAAATCAAGCAGCAGGTGGAAGGCTGTTGGCTTTCAAGGAGCCATTCTGCCTCTAGTGCTGTGATCATGTGTGTAGATGGGAGCCAGTCCACTGCAACACGACCAGCCTCTGCTCTAGCTCACCACAGTGGTCTAAAACTAGCCCTGACTGAGGTAAAAGTTCCTTTTTTTTCCCCTCCCCCTCAATGAAAAGAAAGTATTTTCCTAATAGCTTGCAAGCCAGCAAGTGTGATGGGAAAAAAAAAAAAGGGAAAAAAGCATTAGCCAGGTTCAATGTTGACTTTGTTCAACTTCTCAAAAAGCCATATAGTTGAAACTGCTCAACTCCAGGTAGTTGAAAAGCATGGGTGCTCCTTCCTTGAATTTAGCAAATACTTTGTTAACTGTCATCATACCCAGCTCCTATTTGTAGCATGTCACTGAAATAAAAATACTAGGGGACAAATCTCAGCAGACATAGTACAATAATAAAATACCAGAAGGTCCTTTGGAAGTTTGTCAGCACTCTTGTCACATTTTTAGTCTGAAATAACAAT